GATTATGCGATTAAACATGCGGGGTTTTTACGTGATTTTATGCGGTGAAATTGCGGGAAGTTGCGAAATATGCTAAATATGCGGGGGAAAAGAATAACAATTTTTTTAAATATTGGACTGTTGGATTTATTCTCTCTCACACACACACACACACACACACACACACACACACACACACACACACACACACACACACACACACACACACACACACACACACACACACACACACACACACACATAAACACATAGGCACACAGGCTTAGTGGTTATCCTGTGGGGAGAGGCCTGTGGATCCTATTAACTATGTTCAGAGGCAGTCTACTGTATTTCTCTTTGGATTCTAGCCCTGCACCCCATTTTGACTCACACACACTCACCTTGATACAACACAGGGCCAGTTGATAGACCACAAATAATACAAGCAAATGTTTTGATTGGCTCCAAAACTCTAGCTCGCTCAATTTCATTAAATCCCTTGAAGAGACGCACCAGCAAATATGGGAGAGAGCTGGAACTCATCTCAATCCATCTCAATCCAGCTCACACTACATTTACTTCCTCATTGCTTGCCAGTGACACCAATGGATGTATTATAAGATGACCCAGGTGACACTGGGGTAAAGCCTTCCACAGAAAAATGACTTTTTCCCAAGACCTCAGTTTCCTTGACTAAAATCTCTGACCTTCTTCTTCAACGCAGAGACCTGAGCAACAACCAGATCTCAGAGATAGCTCCTGATGCCTTCCAGGGCCTGCGCTCCCTCAACTCCCTGTAAGTGGCCCTGAGCCGAGTTTCTGCATGTATCTCTGCATAAATATTCACCCTGTTGTCATTTCCCGTGTCTTATGCAAGTGTGTGTTTTGATTTCCCAGTGTGCTGTATGGAAATAAGATCACCGACCTGCCCAAGGGGGTGTTTGACGGCCTCTACGCCCTGCAACTGCTGTAAGCAGAACACACACACACACTCTGCTGATATACTGCAGACATAAACTGAATACCACGCATCCTTTACTCCCACTCAGTAAAATAAGTCATAACCTTCAAATAAACTTTGTACCTGTGCATAGTTTTCTAGATGGAATGCATAATGAATGAATATATAAAGAAACTCTGACAGGCTGCTTCCCTCCTTCCTTCTTCCTCGCTCTCTCTTTGTTTCCTTTTCTTCCCCCTTACTCTCAGGTTGCTGAATGCCAATAAGATTCACTGCGTTCGTGCCAACGCCTTCCAGGACCTGCAGAATCTCTCGCTGCTATCACTCTACGACAATAAGATCCAAACTGTTGCCAAGGGCACCTTCACTTCACTACGAGCTATACAGACCCTGTGAGTGGAACACACGCACATGAACATGCTGCTGCTGTGCACGCTCTGACACATACTGAGCTGTCACCATCAAACATGAGCCAACACAGGAGTTGTTTACTTGCAGATCTGTGTAATAACACAGGAATGATGAGGTAGAGAGGAGAGTAAATCTATCATCTTCACAAACACGCGGACACACACAGCTTCTGCGGCCAGATCCAGATCAGAAACCGCGCACACCACACCCTCTTTCCACCGCCGTTACCCAGACAGCACCAATTCGGTCTAAATGAATGTTCTCCTTTTTTTTCTTTTCCGATAAACAAGGCAACCCACATGCTGTTATCAATACAGACCCCACACCATGGCGCCTACCATGTCTCAAACACACCACATGAGATTGTCATCCATACATGCTAATGTTTCTAGACACCTGTTGAAGATGATGATGGATAGTGCTACCACTATGTTCAACACACACACACACACACACACACACACACACACACACACACACACACACACACACACACACACACACACACACACACACACACACACACACAGCCCTGGGTTTAAGGGTCCCAGTCTAAAAACAAGCTTCTTGTTTGGCCGTTGCATGTATTTATACCCCTTCAAATCGGGGTATTAATACATGCAAAGTCTTCCCACGATCTCCTCACTCCTTAATTAACTTCATCATTTGGATTAAAGTACACACTGAGCTGGAGTAAAGTTAAAGCGATGTTTATTACATTATTAGTTATGGTCTTGGATTCTTTATTTTCTGGTACTTTTTATTGAATTAGTGTTACGCTGAGAGGTGTAGCTAATCTTGAGTCAACTCCATTTATTGGTCATGAAATTGGACAAATCTGTCAACACAATATAAATCTCTAGCAAAACAAACTACTGCCTCAAAAATCTTTTCAATATATTAAATGTATGCAAAAATTATTTACTAAATAATCAACCTAAAGTTATTGTGTTTTACATTATTGTAAATATGATGAATTATGTGGGATCAAACTCTTAACATTGTCAGTAACGGTTTAGTTCTTTTAGTTTTTGAGTAGAGTTTTCCCAGAATCATAAATCAAAAACATTTACATTTTAAGAAGTTGCAGATGGACAGAGCCAAGATAGTCTCTATGCCAAGCTAAGCTAACCAGCTACTGGCTGTAGTTTCATATTTACCTCACAAGAATTAGAGTGGTGTCAACTTTCTCTTTTTACTCTTGACAATAAGTAAAAAGACATTTCCTTTCCGTGTCAAACTTTTAACATAATAAGATCATGTTATTACGACATGACTTAACCTTAGAGTCAATAAACAAAGATATAAATATAGATATACTCTTTATGATGTTTCTGTTGGCCTTTGGGTTACAGTTTCCATGTATTTTAATTTGTTACTCTCTCTCCTTACTTCCCCTCCCCTTTCTCCAACTCTCCCTCGCTGTTCTCCAGTCACCTGGCCCAGAATCCATTTATTTGTGACTGTAATCTGAAGTGGCTGGCAGACTACCTGCGCTCCAACCCCATCGAGACCAGCGGCGCCCGCTGTGCCAGCCCTCGCCGACTCGCTAACAAGCGCATCGGACAGATCAAGAGCAAGAAGTTCCGCTGCTCCGGTAGGCCGGTGGCTCCGTGTCACTCTGAACAAATGTCTCCCTCACATTTCTCTCTCGGGCTTTCTATCTCTCGGACAGACTGTTTTTATTCCACTTGTTTCTCACCTTCTTACTCTGACCTTCTCTCTTCCTCTCCACTGGGAGTGGCTTTTATCTCTGCTTTGTTCCCTCTACCTTACAACATAGTAATGAGTGATCATTCCTGGCAAAATGTTTTATTCGGCCATTTGCTGTGCCGGTGCGACTCAATCAATATCGCCCCAGATGAACTTGGGGCCAAGGAGAGACAGATTGTTTCGCTGTTTCTCCGTTTCCCCTCCATATTACCACAGTGTGGTTTCATATTCAAACCGCAATGAGCTGAGATCACCAGTCGAGGCTGGTATAAGGGCTAGAGTTTCTTTACGTGCCCACCATTCCTCTGCCCTCTGCCAATCTCAGCCTCCATCTCCCCCCTGCTCCCCACTCTCTGCCTGCCAGGCTCAGGTTTCCTTCACCCCCCCCTCACTCCTCTGCACTGCACTATCCATTGCTCACCATCCACCCTCCCTCCTCCTCTGCCCACTATTGTGTTTAAGCGCTGTGTTACGCTGTCTGGCACTCTGCGCTGCTGAGGTTTCACACTTCTTTATAGCCTCATTTGTTTGGCTAGACCTGCTGAAGAAGGGAGTCCATGTGTTTTTCTCTTTCTTTCTTTTTTCTATCTTTTTTTCTCACTGTCTTCCCTTCATTTCACTCTTCCTTAGCAACAGCCAAATATTTACCACCTTTTCACATCGTTACTAGTTCCTCCACATTGCCATGCACAGAGACAGTCCTAGGCTTCTCTGTTTGAATGTCATATACCTTGTGTCGTCATATATAATCTTTATATATGACTGTTCTGAAGCATAGCAACACCACAGCTATGCCGGCCAGACTGGTCTCACTGACATCCGTCCCTCTTTCTTTTCTCCATCACAGCCAAAGAGCAGTACTTCATCCCAGGTGAGTGCTTGTAAATGTTCACACCTATCATTGTCTTCCTCTTTTCTTTAATTATCCCACCGCAGCCGTGTAGAGGCATCATTCATTCCATTACGTACTGCTCATTTAAATACCATTCTCCTGCAGTTTAAAGGATATTTTCAGTTTATAAAAACCTTTTTGTAGTTTTGGCACAATTCCTTTCCGTAATGATAGCATTTTATTTAGAAAGTTTATTGCTGAGAGCTGGAAACCTCACGACACAGGTACTACTTAGTCACATGGGGGTGGAAACAATAGCATTCAGATGCCAACAGAGGAGACAGAATGATGTTGAAGTGGAAACAAAAGAGAGTCAAAAGGATGACCCTTAAATACCTCTTGTGTAATTGTAATATCCTTTCATTTGGATGATGGTAGGATGAGCAGAGGAAATTAACTTCAGAGAATTTACTTTGGGCATCAGGGGTTGAAATTATTCAAAATGGGCATGCTAGTAGGAATGTATACATATACTGTAAGAGCAGCTAATTGGGCCTTTGAGTGACTGGACCCATGTGTTCATCTTAATGAATATATGTGTGAGAGCGTCTGTTTCTCCTCAGCTCTGTTTTCCTAACAGTCTCAGCAGATAGAGTCCAAAGGAAGTGGCTCTTTGCTTTGGCATGAGCACAGACAGTCACTCACCAAGAGAGGCAGAAAGGGTGGGGNTGTGTGTGTGTGTGTGTGTGTGTGTGTGTTTGTGCATATTTTGTGTAAGGGCCAAAAGCCTGTCCACAGGAGCATAGGGGAGCAAGAGGACATTTTAATGAGCAGTTTTCAATGGAACGGGGAGGGAATGGAATTGGGTCTGGAACTTTCCAATACTGCTTCAAGTGATTCAGACTTATTCACACACACACACACACACACGCACGCACGCACGCACACACACACACACACGCTGTGAAAGCCTTTAGGCCTGTCATTGTCCCAGCAGGTGTGACCAGGTGTGCCCTTCTGTTGTGGGCTTTCATCTATTCATCTGGAGAGTTTGCTTCTCCATCATTATCCCAAGTGTCCTCTGCACCATCATTACCTATCATTACCTCTAAACCCAAAGGCCCCCCCTAACTAACCAGCAACCCACCCCCGCCTTCCCACCCAGGGAACAGTCAACAAATAGCAAGAGAAAGCCCCTGCAGCTAGGTTCAGAAGGACCAGGACCCTAAATAAGCCATTTATCAAGGTGACAGCCCTCTGGTAGCACTTTATGTTGGCAGTCAGCAGGGTGGTTGCATCCCTGCAGGCATTATGTCAACTATAGTTGCTTGTAAATACATCAGATGTTAACACACACATGAACAAACACACACTTAAGTGGTGGTACCTCAGTCACTTAAGAACGTGGCGTGCTGGGTCACATTCAGAGATCTCAGTGAATGTTTTAAATTAGCTGTATTTCCCTCATTTTTAAGACAAAAAGGAATGTATATGTATTTTTATTTGTATGGAATAGAAATGCAGGAAGCTAACAAACCCTAACCTCCAGGCATGAGACACAATCTAAAGTCAAGAAATTAAAAATTAAAAAGTGATTTTGGTGGTGGTTGGTGCAATATGAGCCTTAATGGGCTGTAACAGCATGTCGAAAAGTGTTGTTTGTAAAAAGTGTGATGTCCTGCAACAAAGCTTTAAGCTCAATAAAGAAGGAACATAATATGCTGACAAGAAGAAGAATAACATTTCCAAATGTAGAATTAAATACATTTTTTTTTACCAATTTACCTGTAATATGAATCCCATATTAAAATGCCCCTAATAATGTGGCAGTCCCTAATTAGGTAACTGGCAGCAATACTGCTCAACATGGTGCTTTCTTACATTTCATAAACATATCCCATACAATACAAATATCTGAATCATTTTCTGACTCAATACTGAGCTGCTTGTGACTCTGTGTTCAGGTATCTGGATGGAAACCAGTTCAGTGTTTTGCCAAAGGAACTGTCTGCCTTCAAATACCTACAGCTGGTGTAAGTATTTGTCTTGCTGCCCCCTCTGCCTCACTTTGCAGATCAATATGATGAATTATTGTTTTTTTAATGTTCCTTTCAGAGATCTGAGCAACAACAAGATCAGCTCTCTGACCAACTCGTCCTTTGCGAACATGAGCCAACTCACCACTCTGTAAGTCCCGTCTCAGCCAAGAGCTAGTATTTCATCCTGGTGCTGACAGCAGGATGGAAACAGATGACTTTTATATATATAAGCATATGTAATTATTTTTTACTTTTCAGAATCCTGAGCTACAACTCTCTGCGTTGTATCCCCAAAATGGCCTTCAGTGGACTGCGCTCTCTCAGACTGCTGTGAGTTTATTTTGCTATATTTTAAAAACGTTCCGATTTGTGTGTTTTTAGGGTTAGTTTAAAATACTGGTTTTAAATTCATAATGTATCTGTCCAGTGGTATAAAATGCATATCTATTGTTTGAAAAGTTGTCACATAATTTCAAGACAATGGTCAAAACAGCATCTTTATTTGAAACAGTTGACGTTATTTTGAAAGTAGCTTTCTAAAACAAGATAAGACTCACATTCAGACTAAATGAGTTATTGAAGAGGATATTTTCACAGCTTGCACTGACTACAGAGGCGGTGCAGCAGATGCCGAGAATCTTTGATTCTCTCCAGAGGACCGAAACACAGTCTAAACAGTTATGACAGCTTATGAATTTACACACACACACACAGACACACATTCACACAACCTCTGACCTATTTTCTCTGTTTAAATGGCAACCATGGGGGCAGCAGCAGTGTTGTTGCAGCTTCTGCTCCTTCCCACACCTCATATAGACATCTTCCCAGTCTGCCTGTTCACCTCTTAACGCCCCGAGCTCATCACTGCCTCACTGCAGGGCCAAACACTCGCCCCCACAACCTACTGTACAAAATCACCCTGACACTGATTACCAGCGAATGTTTGCCCCGCTAACCGTAATGGTTTTGACTCTGCCTCCGGGCTTTTATGAAGTTATGGTGTCTTTGATTGTGTCCTCTCAATGACCATGGGCTCCCCGTAGTTGAATCGGTCTGCTAAATAACTGAGATGTAGAATTTAAATACGTTTGACAGATAAATGACGAAACCAAAACCAACCTCATGGCTTTCTCCGCAGATACAGCAGCTGGATGCCTCACACTTTAACTCAAATGTACAGTTTAGTTCTGTGAGGGAGAAACAGCGATCAGGCCTAGCAGCACTCCTTATGAGATTATGTTTGCCTCTCTGTGTGTGTGTATGCATATCATCTACTGGCTCGGTGCCCGTTAGTATGTGTGTGGGAGTAGACTTATCGGCCTTCCATGTGTGCTCATAGCAGGCACCCTTTTTATTACTGACAACAAAGCTTTGACAAAGCCTCTTTTTACGGCGGGATTCGACTAATTTCCCGATCATTACGGGGCACAAAGCGTAAGAGCCCTTTTAGCGTGGAATGAGAGTGAAGCTCAGTCATCATTACCCGATGCCGCCTTGCTAGCCCAGGCGGGTCGCTTTGATCTCTAATGAAGCAGCATCCGTTATTTCTGCTCTTACTCACTCACGCCACCTTCACTTTTAAAAATAAAGCAAATGTGCTAGACGCCATGTGAGGCTCTCCCCTCAACGCCATCCGCCCCACAGACACCACACAGGCTCAGAATTATATAAAAGCTCGCACAGACTGTCTGGACTACCTTATTGTCTCAGTCAGACGGGAGTCCACATGAAACTTTGATGTCTTTACTGCTGGAGTGATCAATCATAAGACTCCCATTAAATGTGAATTGGTGCCATGCTTTTTTTTTTTTTACAACAAGGCTGTGTGGGTGCAACGAAGCTAAAGCGACAATGAGCTCCATTTAATGGTTTCAACCCAGTTCAAAGTTCAAAGTTGGAAGCTTCATAGAAAACCACAGTGAGATGCCAAAGCTTACAAGCGGGACTCACACACACTGAGGTGCCAAAGGCTTTATAAAGCTGCCCCTCTGGCTTTACAGAGCAGTAAAGAGGAGAAGAATCATTAACGCTCAGGGCTTCAAACAGACCAGGGGTCTGAGCCTGGCATGGGTGTGGTAATGTGGTTTGATGCAAGTGTACATATGTGTGTGTGTGTGTGTGTGTGTGTGTGTGTGTGTGTGTGTGTGTGTGTGTGTGTGTGTGTGTGTGTGTGTGATGGTTGTGGTTTTTGGAGCTGCAGATTAATAAACTGCTAATTGGCCTGCTGGGTATTAGGTGTGAGGTAAGTGAGCTGAGACAGCGCTAGGGCGTGGCTCGCCAGGGCTTGGGTGGGAAGCTGTAAGAAAAGAAAGTGATATGAAAGACTGTGATAAAGTAAAAAGAAAGTAATAGCCTGGAACAAACGAAATAAAATCCGACATTTTTTGAAAAATGCGGTTGGATGCAGTGCTTTGAGGAAATTCCAGTATCACATGATCTTCAAAACACGTGGCTCAGAGGACTCACAGAATCACAAAAACAGTATTAACTGGTTGCAGGTGAACAAGCCTGTGTGCACATTTTGAACAGTTGGATAGCCTGAGCACACTGACTGTACAGAACGTCTTGTGAGCTACAGAAACATCCATTGCAATACCATGCTTATGAAATGCAAGATTAGAAATAGATGAAGACATAGGTAAGATGGAGTGATGTAATGATTTACAGCTGTAGAAATTAAATACAAAAAGAGAATGCAGGGGAGAGGATCAGGTTTCTTCCTGGAGACTCCATGGCTCCTTTCTCCCATGAGATCTGTGCCTAGCTGGCACACTGCAGCTGGCTCCATGCCCTCAGTATCCTACCACAACCCAACTGCTCTCTCTACACTAATAAGCATGCTCCCCTGCACACAGGCCAATTAACTTGTTGTCTCAGACGGTTACATTGTATGTTTTCCTTTTCGTATTCGAGCACGGCTCTGCATCTTTACGCTGGCCAGCTACCCCCCCCCTCTGTATCCTTTCCCCTGACTCGTCCACAGCTTAGTGGTAATTCACAGATCAAACAAAGAAGGAAGTAGGGTTTTCAATGTCTGTTTATACATCCCTTTTCCTCATGCAGGCACAGAGAGCAGATGTGCCATGTATTGGTGCTGCAGACTGAGCTGTGGTAACATTAGCGTGTGGTCAGCTGAGGGTTGGAGGTGGTAATGACCCTGCGGATTACAGCAGCCATCAGTCATTTAGCCATTAAGCCATGTTGGCTTGTCACCCGCCATAGAAGTCAGAGCAGAGCAACAGTATATACACAATTGTTTATATACACTCATATATTACTATGGCATGTGCCCAAATACACAAGCACATAAATATGTGTAATTCAGCATACACAAATGTTTTTTAGTTTCTGCATGTGGTGCAACTTTGTTACCCCCCCTTCTTTTGTGGAGTTTGTTGGCCCTGCCAGCCAGACATACATGGAAACTTGACACCAGTCTTTCACAGACGCACAGAGCTTCACATCTTTGCCAGCTGCACAAGGCTCAACCAGAAATACATACCCAATACAACACTGACAGTATTTCCTGTTATTCTCAGTGCTGTTTAGTTGTCCCCAAGCAAAGTACAGTATGTGGTTGGATTGCAACTAACCTGTATTTATTACCATTAAATATGCCAATTAATGTCCATAATATGTCAGAAAATTGTAAAATAGACAATCACAATCTCAAACATTACATTTTCCAGAGATAAAACATTCAAATGACTGACCAAACAGTTCATAAACCCAGAAATGTTAATATTGAATCATAGAACAAAACCAGCAGAAATTCAGAAACCTGAAATCGAAAAATGCTGTGTGATTTAGTGATACATTTATTACAAAAATAGTTATTTTGATTTAATAGTTATGTCGAACTGATACTGCAATCCAAAAGTTGCCCAAAAAGCCTTTATGTTTCCTTTGATAAAACTTGTTCATGGTCCTAAATTATCTCTTTTTTGTCATCTCTTTCCTCCATTGCCCTCCAGGTCTCTCCATGGCAACGAAATCTCCGAGCTTCCTGATGGCATCTTTAACGATGTGGCCTCACTTTCACACTTGTAAGTAGCCACACACACACACACACACACACACACACACACACACACACACACACACACACACACACACACACACACACACACACACACACACACACACACACACACACAGAGTTACGGGCACAGAGGGGGTCTGGTCAGACAGCCGGGGAGCGTGGCTCACAGTAGTCTGTCTGTAGTCCTCTTTGGTGGGCTTCACATGAGCCAGACCCTCCCTGCATCAGCCGCAGTCCTGTGGTTAAAGAAACACACAGACCCCTGTACTGTCTCCTCTCCCTGTGACATCTCTGAAACACACACACACCCGTTCACTAACACACACACACACACACACACACACACACACACACACACACACACACACACACACACACACACACACACACACACATGCACAGACAGATTCTCCATGGTTCGTGGGCCTTAGTGTTTGTTTTGGTTTGCTTATTTATGTCTGTAATTTTGTGTGTGGTGTGTAGCTGTGTGGTTTTGCATGTACTCGTGGACATGTGTAAAACTACACAGAGGTATCTTTGCAGTGTGCCCTCCTCTGCCATCCAGCCTACATATTCACATCATCCCCTGAAAGACACTGATCAATAGACCTATCAGTGTAAGGAGGAAGAAGGGAGGATGCAGAGAGCTAAACAAAGACATTTTTTAGGAGGGCGGCACAGGAGTAAAGCCTGCATTAAAACGGGCTGAAGGGAGGGATGGAGGGCAGCCATTGATCCACAGTCACAGTCAAGTGGCTTTCATGTTAGCAGATGTCAGGTGTCAGCTATTGGCGCAGCCTGAAAGATGAGCCTGTGTTCCACCGTAATGGAACAGCATCGATTCAGGAGTGTTTGTGCATCTAGCGGGAGGACAGAGCAGCATTGATTCACGACCACCATGACAGAAGTGGTTAAGAGTGCCTTCTGTTTGCACCTTTGCCTATTATTAAGAAGCCCACCTCAATATAATGTATGGCACAGATTGGCATTGAGCATCACACTTTAAATCTGTTTTATTCTTAGAGAAGCAGCGTTTTAGTTGTATGATACAAAAAGTTGAGTTGGTTTGTTTTGTGTAAGGTTGTAGAGGCACCTGCTGGTGATAGAGTGTATTACAGTAACATCATATGGAGGTGAAAATAAATAAAAAATCCGTTATTCCTCCCACAACAGGGACATTTAAAATGTTACAGCAAAAGGACAGTGCAGCCAAAAGGCACAAATAAGAAAGACGAGAGTAGTAGAGTGACATTTTAAATCAAGCAAGCAAACCTAAATTAAGAAAAATCAAAGAGGTACACATCCATGGTATCAAAAATAGGTAGCAGCATTTTTTTTAATTAAGTGAACATACTGTATAACAGTAATGAGGCAGCAGTAAATGACAATATTAAGAGTGTGAAAAAAGTGTATATTGTATATAGCAGAGTCATCACATGAGTAAATACTAAACCTTATATATTGCACATAGTAGTGTTATTGTTACAGTCTGTGTTGTGTGGTGGTCTTCCAGGGCTGTGGTGAATGTATAGTCTGCCTGCTGCAGAACCACATTATCAAAGCATTGATCCATTTCTTTTTTCTCCTTTATTAGGGCAATCGGAGCCAACCCCTTGCACTGCGACTGTCGCCTGCGCTGGCTGTCTGACTGGGTGAAGACCAGCTACAAAGAGCCTGGCATCGCCCGCTGCGCTGGTCCTCTGGGCATGGAGGGCAAACTGCTGCTCACTACACCGGCTAAGAAGTTTGAATGTACAGGTGGGTTATTGTGTTGGAAACTGAAATATAACGTTAGCAGCACTAGAATCAACATGCAATGAATTTGTATTGGTCTGGCATTTCCTTCAGGTGATGCGGACACTACAGTGCTGTCCAAGTGTAACCCCTGTGTTTCCAGTCCCTGTCTCAACCAAGGCATCTGTCACAGCGACATGGTGGAGGTCTACAGGTGCAGCTGTCCTCCAGGTTTTAAGGTAAAAGCCACATAATGCCCATCTGTGGACATCCTTAATGTGTTGTAGGTGCCAAAGTATGCATAATGTAAATCTAAGTAATAATGAACATTATCTCTGTTCTGTCTCAGGGTAAGAACTGTGAGTCAACTCTGAACGCCTGTGTGAGTAACCCCTGTGCCAACGGAGGAACCTGCCAAGTGGTTGAAGAGGCCGAGGGAGTATACAGGTGAGGAAGGGAGCTTTGTAAATATATTCATCAGAAGGAACTTTAGACCATAACGTAATGAGTTTGTATGTTTTTTGCAGTTGCACATGTCCTCTGGGCTTTGAGGGCCCCGTTTGCCAAACCAACATTGATGACTGCGATGACAACGACTGTGAGAACGGAGCGACCTGCCTCGATGGAATCAACAACTACACTTGTTTTTGTCCCCCCTACTACACAGGTTAGTGCAGGCAGGACAGTTTGTAAAACTGCATTGCAGAAAAACAAAACCTGTACAAAGAAGCAAATGTATTTTCTATTATAGAGAAAATGTGTGTAAAACCATCAAATCTGGCAGTAAAAAAAGATTTCTTTAAATATAATACATATATAGCTACACAATAAGCTACTGCTAACAACAACTTGCCTCAAGCAATGAAATAAAGAAATTAAAGAAGATTAATAATAAATGTTATTAAATACATTGCCTTTTAACTATACTATTTAGATAGACATACATGGTTGTACTTCTTGAAGGGTAAAAATTAAAATAATATATATTTGCAGTTTCTTTGTTTAAAAGGAAAATAAAAAACTAAAATAGTAATAGAAAGTTTAATGTTGCAGGTTTAATAATTGAATGCATACAGTGAATGACAAGACTATTCGTTCTGGATTAGAATTTTCTTTTATTAATAGTAATGAAATAAGGAATGACTGATTCACTGTCTATTATTGATTGTATTTGTTGTTGTGTAGGGGAGATGTGTGAAGAAATTGAGGATGTGTGTGCCCCTGGACGAAGCCCCTGCCAACATCAGTCTACCTGCCTCATCACCTCCAGTGGGCCCAAGTAAGTGCCAGCCATTAGAATCAGCAATATATGATGATGCAATATATGAAAAAACATAAAGACTAGGGGGTAGCTTTTCGTTGATTGCAGTATTGTCTGTGTGTTGCAGGTGTGTGTGCTCTCCTGGTTATGTTGGTGACGACTGCAGTGTAGACTACAACGACTGTGAGGAGCATCGCTGCCAGAATGGAGCTCAGTGTGTGGATGAGCTGAATGGATACTCCTGCGAATGTCTCGAAGGATACAAGTAAGAGGAGCATCGATAAAAATATGCGTTAACTTCATAGTTTGCTTTGCTAACGTCATCCTTCCTCTCTATAGTGGTCAGCTGTGTGAGGTCGCCCCGTCTCCACTGTCCCTTTGTGAGCTGGCCGACTGCCAGAACGCTGCCAAGTGTGTGGAGCGAGGCGGGCGGGCCCTCTGCCAGTGTCCTCCTGAGTTTGGGGGGCCACGCTGCGAGAAACTTGTCAGCGTCAACTTTATTGACAGAGACTCCTACCTGCTGCTGTCTGACCTCAAGAACTGGCCACAAGCTAACATCACCTTACAGGTATCCACAGTGTTCATGTGGGAGCGTGTCTGTGATTCTTCTGTTTTGATGCTGCTTATCTTAACCATGAGTAACTGCTAATTTTCTCTGCATAGGTGTCAACAGCTGAGGATAATGGCATCCTGCTGTACAATGGAGAAGATGATCATATTGCTGTGGAGCTCTACCAAGGTCATGTCAAAGTCAGCTATGACCCAGGCAGCCAGCCAGGACATGCCATCTACAGGTGATTTTCCTTTTAGACACTGCAGGTTACTTTCACTGTACGTTGATGTTGTATTTTTATTTGTTATTATCTCTAGTGACTATATCTGATGTCAAACCTCTGTTTTCCTCTACCAGTACCGAGACTATCAACGATGGCCAGTTCCACACAGTGGAGTTGGTGACCTATGACCAGATGATGAACCTGTCCATTGACGGGGGTCTCCCTATCACAATGGACAGCTTCGGGGCGGTGCGGCCCCTCAACGGGGAGGCTCCACTATACGTGGGGGGTAGGGGCCCTCTCCAGAACACACCTCCCTCCTCTGCAGGCACTCTTAACTACTACACTACTGTCAATCACCTCCCCTCCCCCCTCGCTTTGTCTCCACCGCAACCAACCCCTCCCCTCTACCATATAATCCTTCAACCCCTTTCCTACCTCCACCCAAATCCAACCCCTCTCCTCCATCAACACCTTCAGTCAGGACTGTGTTTGCTAGGTCACATAATGTATTAATAGCTAAAACATTTCAAGATAAAACATAACTTTCAAATAGCAGATCATAGCCCATGAATAAATATTCACCACTTTATAATCCAATAGTTGTGATACCGTTACAGTTCATTTCTTACATTGGGTCAAGAACGCCCTCTAGTGATTACCATAGGAACTACCAGACACAGTCTCAACTTTAGACTTTTCCGTTATTGCATGAATGTAATTCCACAAAATGTTACTGTGTTTATTTGTAATGCGTGATTAAGCAACTCTTGACATTTGAAGAATTTGTTGATTAATTCAAAAAAGTAAAGCCTTTCTGAAATGTGTTGTCATGCCCCCGGAGCTTTAGAGGTTGACATTTAGCTCAGGAGTGGCTCAGTGTGTTTCAGTGCTGTGCTGTCCTGTTCTTTGTTCATACAACACTACAGAAGACATTTTCCCATACAATTTTTCTTTTTGCTATCAATTGTTTCAAGGATGGAGTGTCTTGTGGTGCAAATGCAAACTATGAAAGCCAATCTAAAAAAAGAGTTGCCTATAGATTTGACATAATTGTTTACGCACTGTTGGGATACCCATGTTTGAAATACATTCCTCCATTATCTCATACCAGCCCTGTGTTAGTTGTCTGTGTTTGTGACCCAGTATGCACGTCTTCACATCTTTTAACATCTTCTCTTTCCTCTCTCCTCCTCCTCCAGGCATGCCGGTGGATGCACATTCAGGCGTTTTCCGTCTCTGGCAGCTCCAGAACGGCTCCAGTTTCCATGGCTGTATCCAGAACCTGTACATCAACAATGAGCTCCAGGACTTCACCAAGACCCAGATGAAGCCTGGCGTGGTCCCCGGCTGCGAGCCCTGCAAGAAGATCTACTGCGTGCACGGCATCTGCCAGCCTGATGGGGTTCAGGGCCCGGTGTGCCACTGCCAGCCGGGCTGGAGCGGGCTGCAGTGTGACGAGCCGGTGCTCAACCCCTGCCAGGGCAGCAAGTAAGCTAGCTAAGAGGGTTGAAATTAAAGTAAAACATATTAGAATAAAAACAATGTAAAAATACTTTCTTCCGAGTAAAATTCCTGATTTAAAATCCTGTTTTAGTAAAAGTATCATGAGCAAAATGTTCTAAATGTTTCAAAAGTATATATATAGATAACATTATATGTTTGTTGGTACTAACGCAACAACTTATAAGTGGCATTTTACTGCTGTTGCTAAGGTTACTTTTAAACAATTCCACAACCAAAAGCTTGGGCCCCCTACAAGGTGAATCAGAGGGATCAACATACCACTTCTTGTTTGTTTTTTTTACCAGAAAAATAAGTCAATTGTTATTTTTACTGAGCAGGAAATATAATCAAGGTTATTTTTGTCTTACTAGGTGCGTCCATGGAAAGTGCATCCCACTGGACACTCAGTCGTATCGCTGCGAGTGTGAGGAGGGTTACCGCGGCGCCCTGTGTAACCAGCAGGGGGAGCTGTTCAACCCCTGCCGACGTCTAACCTGTAAACACGGTCGCTGCCAGATCTCAGAAACAGGAGTCGCCTTCTGCCACTGTGAGAGTGGCTACACCGGGGAACTCTGTGATGCAGGTGGGTTGTCATTCTGTACGTGAAGGATGTGAAATGGGCAAAGCTAATATATTATTTTAAAGGTAATCTATTATGCTATATTTGAACAATAGGGCCATCCATTCATCCGTCAACCATTCAATATACGGGTTTGAACGCCACACAAGCTCTTGTCCTCTTTTATAAATCAAATGCTTACTGTGAAATGTTTTACCGTGGAACAAATGAATATGCTTCGCCAATAGTGAAGCTATATAATATGTAACGGAGACCGTGATCTACGGCCCCAGAGATCACCTCCGTTACAAGGTGACCTTTAAAAGATCAAGGAATTTCTTTATTTTACTTCAGTATTCCTGTGTATACTCTGATAACATACTAATGTCTGTGACTGTTCTTCCTGTTTCCAGAGTCTGAATGCCGAGGGGAGCCTGTGCGAGACTTCTACCAGGTCCAGCGAGGCTACGCCATCTGCCAGACGACACGCATGGTCTCTTGGGTGGAGTGCTCCGGAGCGTGCGACACCGGGGCCTGCTGCGCCAGCCAGCGAATGAAACGCCGGAAATATACCTTTGAATGCAGCGATGGAACCTCCTTCAGCGAGGAAGTGGAAAAGACCATCAAGTGCGGCTGCGTGGGCTGCATGTAGCACCATTCACTCACATTTCCTGCCGCTGCCGCCGAGCAGAAGATAGAAAGAGAGAAAGAAGGGATAGAAGTAGGAAGAGAGAGGACTGGAGGAAAGAGAGGGAGGGAAAGAAAGAGTATAAAGAATATATATAAAACCTCTATCTATATATCATGGACAACAATGTTTGTAAAATAGGACATTTCCTCCCCTTACAAGGGTGTGTGACCTACAGTAACACAGAGAAACCAACATCATGAGCAACAATGTAGATGTGACAACAACGGCAACAGAACCATTGTATCTGCAACATTGTTCCAAAGGGGTCCAGAGATTTTAAAAGTGTTGCATTCAGAGTGAAGCATCCCTCCAACCCAAATTAACCGGTGTGAATTCCCCATCCATCCGTGAGGCCTCTGACAGCCTAACCACCATCCACCATCTTAACCTCGTGGAGGCAGTGAGGACAGCGGGGTCCAGCCTGGCCAAGAATGGCAGAAGACAGGCAGAGAAAGACACACAGAGAGACACAGGAGAAGAGACTTTGACTTGGCAAAGCTATCTTGAGTTGAGCTTGGCTGGGTTACCCGGACCGGGCTGGATATGGTTTGGGTTGAGTTAAGGTCGTTGTTGGTTTGGTGTAGCAATTTCTCTGCCAGGAAACAGTCATCCATCCACACATGCACATGTAGAAGTGTACAATGGAAAGGAAGGGTTAGAGTGGCACATAATCCGGTGCGGATGTCGTAGCTTCGAGGCCCGGTGGCGTCCCAGATGTTCGCTGTGAGGTACCGTAATGTAGAAACTCCATAAAAATAGAGACTGCACTGACTAGCAGCACTGAAAATGACATACACCTCTCTGAAGTACATCATCACACGCATGGCATACATTCATTTAAACAGTCTTAAAAAAAAAGTGAGAGGGCTTGTGTGGTAAAACGATCCATTCTGTTCGTACAGCAAACCAATCTGGTGCTGGCAGTGACCAGTGGTTATCAATCCCCCAGCATGCATTGCCTCTGGGTTAGGATGATTTGCATAATCCCACGCCCTCAGAGCAGGACGCTGCTCCTATCGATGCCTGCAGTATTAAACTTGTGCAAACAGTTGCATGTGTGGAGAAGAGTTTGCCAACAAATATGTAGAGCTCCTTAATATCGTTATAAATGTTATTACAAAACAAAAGTTTGCAGAATCATCTTCTGATTTCTGTTTTGTTCTGTCTAATTTCTCATATTGATATGTTTTTATTTTTGTTATATTTTGTCTCATGATATAACCTAACTCCTTTAGCTGCCCCCCACCCTCCTCAACAACTCTTTATATAGAAATGCCTAACAGATTCTAATATATATATATTTGTATTTCATTTTGGTATAGTATTTTTCTATGTTAAAGAGTAAGTCTGTTTCTGGAAGCTTTGGGACTGGTGGAAAGGCATTCAGTTGGTTCCCTAGGTGTTTTTATTTGTTGATCACACTCGCTCCAACAAGGTTATTAATTACATGAATTAGCCACAAATACAGCAGCTGGTTGGCCTTGTTGTATAGAAGGCAGTATTGGTCTAGAAATGTGTGTAATATTGTATATGTTGTCTTCCATGTGAATATTACATCTAATTCATGAAAGTCTGTGATTGTTTATATTTATTTTATCTAAAGGCGTTTTCTGTAGAAAGTAAAGGGCATACATGTTGCTGACTTTCAGATATTTTAAAACATTTCAAAAAGATGAAAAAAGGTAGAATAATGAATAAAAATAGCATAAACATCTGTAAGGTATTTGTAACATCACTTAATAGCAAGTTACAGCAGTGTTTTCCTCCTCTCTGGCTCAACATTCCTCATTCGCTGCAGGAGCTGGAGAGGGCCGAGCCGGGATCCAGAGACCTCCCCCTCAAATTGACCTTGTAATTACCATACCACGCTAAAAGGCTTCTGATTGTTTTCATGTCCATTTTGTTGAAGTGTCCTGTTGTATTTCTATCATTTTCAATTGAGATATGTTTGCCATAGAGGTGTTTTTAGTTCAGTAGTCAAGCTCAACTGATCATAAGCTGCTGTCAAGCCACAAAAAAAGAATGAAATGCTTCTGAGGACGACGATCATGTTAGGCTTCATCGTTCGAGATCTGTCTGAATAGGCGACCGTGGGGAGCATTACATGCCTACTACTGACAGATCATAAATGAGAGGTCTGGACATTTCAATGTTTGTCGGTTCTAGCTGGCTATCCACACAAAAAAGTAATAAATGGTGCCAATTACAGTGAACACAACAGTCATACCTGAATGTATAAATGTGTATAGATAAATATGACCTATGCTTATTCATGAAGTGGTAACTTTTAGCTGTTATTTAGTTTCCAATGTAAGATATAGAAATCACATACTGTTTAATAAGTAACAGTCCATCAGGATGGCTTAAGGCATTGTTCTTCCTGCAGATTTGGATTGTGTTCATCCATTTTGCCGATCTAAATGTTTAAAGTCTCTTTATAGTGTGAAAAGCTGCAGAGCCAGATCTCAGCTTGGTACATTGCACACAGAGCTTCTATTCATATTGCTACCCATGTTAACTTTGTTTTACATGCTGTTGATGTGATCCAAGTGTTGTACAATAACTTTAATAGAAGATCTCGTAAAGGATTCTTGTGAGCAGTCACTGTAACTCTTAGGCTGTGTGCCTCGTAAAGGCGCATATTTAGTTGAACGTGGCTTTCTTTTCATGTCTCCTTTCCTTCCTCTGCACTGATCTATACTGGACTGGTGCATTCAACTTTCTGGTAGACATCTTAGTGGTGCTTGTGCTATATTGAGATGTAATTCAGTTATCTGGTCACATACCAGAAACACATATTTTTCATCCTATGAACTATATACATAAATATGTTATTGTAAACGACACGATGTCTCTGTTGTATTGAAATGGTGCAAACACTAAAAAATATCCCTCGTTGGGTTCTGTCCATTTGCTTTTTGTTACAGGATAGATGGTGGGATTAAGCTGAAAAAATCCCAATATTGCTGAATGTATGTAGTGCCACCGACAAAATGTTTACCAAACCTCCACTCTTTTTCATTAATTAAACTTAAATGTGTGTGCTTTTAAGAATGTCTTCTTTGTTTTAATTCATGTGTTCTTTGTTTTTTGACAAAATTTAAAAAACGAACTTTGATAAGCCAACATAGATCATTAATCCTTATAGGGCTCAGAAAAATCTGAATTTCGTTGATCATAGACATTTCGTGAATAGTCATACAAAAGTTGCTCAGAAAAATTGCAAAGATATAGTAAAACATTTAAATTTAAAGAAATTGTAAAAAAGTCATACCATAGTATGTGATCTAAATATAAAAATGATGTCATAAAATAGCTTATTATTAAAAAAGGCATACAAACGTCAATATATATAAGGGATTGCAGATCACTTACAATATACCTGCAATATACAAGCAGGACTCTTTTTAATGAAATGTACTGTTTTTTCTATCCACTTGTCAGAGAGGTATCACAGTCCGAAACTTAAAATCCTTAATATATATCCAGGCAATTAAGAGGCTTGATTTACAGAGAAGTCTATGAATGGGGAATGAAATATCTGTACCCACTAAGGGTGACTGAAGAGTCACAGCCTTAAGTGGACGCACCCTGACCTCAGCAGTAGCTTAGTGGCTTCACATAGCACAAGTATCTGTCTCAGTGGGGCTCTGCCTGAAGGGCTACCAGTGGACAAGTGTCGTGCCCGAGATGATAACATCCAACAGCTCGGCTTAGTTCAGATACAATCACAGGCTCAGTTCGTCGGCCGTAAGTAATAAGAAGAGAAAAATCATGTTTAAGTGTTTAAAATAAAAGGTTTTGCTTGTGTTGGATATAGAAACTTTGGATTTCACTGTTAAAAAATATATAAAATTACACATTTCCTAATCTCATTTTGGAGTGATGTTGTTCCCTCTCAGTTTTCTGCAGGGCCTGAAGTGAAGGAGGCCAACTGTTAACCAATCTGTCCCACAGTGGGAGCTTCCTGTGGTGTTCAGGACTCTGCCCCTGAGCCGTATGCCAGGGCATCGCAGTGTGAAATGCCTTCATTGGCTACCACAAGTGATTTAACGGAGATGAAAAACTGCTAAGTCCTTCAGGAGCACTGATGCCTCCGCCTAGTTGTCATAAAGGGTGATACATATTAGAGTGGCAGGGTCATAATGCGTCAACTTAGGCAATTTAAAAGGTCACTTATTATGCAAATTCCGCTTTTTCATGTCTTTTATACATACACATGTGTCCCCTCTGTGTAAAGAGATTCTGAAAGTTTCATGAAAAAAGATTTGCTCACTTTTCGTCCTGATCCATTTATATAAAAACCTGTCTGAAAATGAGCTGATTAGATTTTGGCCACTTTATGTCATAACGATTTTTTGGCTTGTGTAACCATTAGCCAATAACCAACCAATGTAACACCCCCCCACACCTTATCACCTGAATCTCCTCCTAGAGCTCCATTGTGTTCTACTCAACCAAATATCTCTCAGAGGGGCGTGGCTCCTTATTTTCATCTAAAGTAACAGACAGAGAATCAGCACTTTTGAAACAGAGGGGTTTATGGGATGCTACAATGGGTGTTCTGTTGAATATTTCAAGCCAAACACTTCAGAGGCCTGTTTTGTATATATATCTGAGACCTATACTATATTGATGAAAAACAGTATAATAGGGGACCTTTAAGATTTTCCAACACTGCCTGAAACAGACTCTTCAACTGGAACAGTCCCACAGTGGGTAAGAGGGGGTGAGACAGTTGTCTTTCAGAACAGCTATAAGACTCTTAAATTTACAACCTAGTTTATTTCAAGCAAATGGAGCACGAAAGTTTTCACTTTGCCACTTTCTTCACTTCGTTCAAGTTTGGTTAAATAACAATTAAAACACTTTAACAAATGAGCCAAAAGACCAAGATAAAATTCCAACATCTTTATATCAACTCCAGCAAAAATACAAAATTCTTAACATAAAGATGTATCTTTCTTGGGATTACCACCAATAAAGCAGTCCTTTCTTTCTAATATACAAAATCAAAATCTTTAAATAGCAACTGTAAAGAATAAACATGTTCAAGTCCGATATTTGGTGGGCTGTTATAGATTAGCTGACAAGGAGTTAAATAACAATAAAAACATGTGTTTGCATTTACAGACAATTTACCCTCTAAAGAGAAATGAACATCAAAAAATAACACTGTGCTAAAAATGACAATACACTAATGAAATGTACTACTGTGGAAGTTAAGAAACTTCACATTATGAGAACATCTGCCTGACAATAATAAAACATAAAACTGCTACATACATACATTGGATCAACAACTCAGAAGTGTGACTAAGACTAGCCAAACATGTCATATCCAAACTTGTAAAATCAGGGAAGGAATGACTCACCCTATAGTGTGCCATTAATGCTAAATAGGCCATAACTTCATTCATATTTACCAACCAAATATACATTTTTAGGCCTTTGTTAGGAAACATCGTTGCCAAAGTGATACATAGGCCAGTATCCCAAAGTTCATGGCATATTTTTCAGTACAGCATTTTGACTTTTAATTGTGCATACAAAGTTCTGAATGAGGTTAGTATTTTTCGAAGTTCAAGGGTATAAAGATAGGTATGGGTTTGAGCTCTAGGAAGTCAATAGCTATAATGCAAGAGTTGCTGTCTGCACATTACCAAGACCTAACACATGCAGAAGCAGGTCAAATACTTAATGGGATGTTGAGTAGAAAACAAAAAGGTTGATAGGGATGAAAAACCACCGCAAACATAACAAATGTATTTCATGACACATACAGAGCACGTCTGTTCGTTTAACAATTGACTCTTATTTGCTTGAACATCTAACATCTAAAGTAAGAACGATATTAAGTTAATGCTCTGGGAAAAAAAATAGTAATATAAAAATAAACCTTAATGCCTCGGTCAACATAAGAATGTAGAGATGACACACGAGGCATAAGCTGTGAAACCTAACCTCTTTACACACTCTGAAGCTAGTTAATGCAGCCTCTCCATGAATTGAACGATTGTATAGCTAAAAGGACAGGAGTTTTCACATTTAGCAACAGCTTCGATTTGTTTACACTTCATAAATAAGGCACCGGGTCACAACAGTCACATATTCACAATGTTGTGTTTAGAAGACAAGCTGGAGAAACTAAATGCCTACTAACTGTCAGTAAAACCTTATAGAAAACATGACCTCCCTTCTCATAGCAAGCACTCAATGCAGTGTATGCTATTATCTAAAACAATAACTGTTTACAAAATGGCAAAAGAAAACAAAACAGGACGCTGAGTGAACGTAAATGTCACTTCGATATCTGCATCAGATGTTTGATGTTTATCCCAACTTTTAAAATAAGGTTTTATAATGTTATCTGCAGCCTTGTCTTGGGTAGCTGGAACAGAAACTACAGCAACTACATCTATGACACCTCATGTAGGACTTGTCTGTAGACTTCAACTCAGAGCAAACACTCAGCAAATATCACATTGGTTTTTTCACACTTTACAAAAGCCTAAATTATTTTCAAAACCTTCTTCACATAATTGCCAACTGAACAAGGTGCCCTGTGAAGGGCTGTAATGAGAGTGGAACATATGTATTTCTGGACTTTCTGAAAAGAAAGTAACAGAATCCCCTAACTAAAGATTGTCCTTCTCTGCAGGCGCACTTTCATTTAGAGAGTGATGTCCTGGTCCGTTTTGCGGGCGTCTTTAAAGGCTCCCGAGCTCTCTTGGTTGCGGATTTTGTCACAGTGCGTGGTAACACAGCCATCTGCCTTCCTTTCGCCCCTCTTCTCATCAGCATGGGTCTCTCTGATTTCTTGACTGCTTTAGAAGATGCATTTTTTGATTTCATGGACTTTGCGGCCTTCTTTACAGCATGACTAGGGCCCCCACTCAACGGGACTGCTACCTCCATTTTCCTCTGGGATCTTGTTAGTACCTGGTCAGGCGAGGTCGGAGCCTTGCCATCCACACTTGGCCGTGGCGTTTCAGCCTTCTCGGCTCCTTTGATTACAGCGACAGTACTTTGTGACGTTTCCTTAGCGAGCGTTTTGCTAGGACTCCCTTTATTTAGAGCTGCTTTTTCAACATCGACTCTCTCTGCTTCAGTTTGTTTTTTATTGTCGGCCTTGCTTTTCGATTTGTCGCCCGGGTTATGGTCAGATACTTTAGGAGACCCTAGTCGTTGAGAAGATCTCTTTGGCATTTTGTCTTTTTTAGTTGCATCTCTTGAAGCTCTACTGCTGCCCTGAGCCTTGACCGCCCTCTGTTGAACCGGAGGCTTTGTAGTTTTTCTACCAGCCAATGTTTTCCTTCTTTCCATCTTTGCAGCAGATGCTTTCATTTTTTTCCCGACAGATAGGGCTGATTTTTGTGCCTTCGTAGATGGTTTCACATTTGACTTGGCGGCTGACTTTTTACTGTCCAGTCTTTTCACATTGTTGTTTTTTAAGGTTTTTGAGGCCTCTTTGAGTCTAACATTGGTTTGCTGAATCTTCTCTCTGATATTAGAGTATTTCTTCAGGATCCTTGCGCTAGCTGGATTCTTTGATTTACCAGAGGCTTTCTGGGGTTCACCCTGGGCACAGGCTTTGGCAGTCTGAGTAGAACTGGGCAGTTCTTCTCTCTCTTTGACTGCATTTGCCTCCAGGGCTCTAGCAATAAGTTTCTGACTCTTGGGGTTGCTCTTTACAGGAGAGGCGATGGCAAACTTCTTCAAATGTTTCTTCAAACGCTCAGCCTGTAGGCTTGGAAATATTCCCTGAGAGGCCCCTGAAGAACTAGCACTGTGGAAGCACAGCTGAGTTTCTGACGGAAGACGTGTATTTACTTTCTTGACAATGACGAGGGACTTTGTTTCTGTTGTTTCAAGGTACCAGCGACAGATACTGGAGAGATTAAAACCTTTCACGAAGAGCATTTGGAAAGGCGAGTATTTCTGGTGATCCGAAGACTTTGATTTCCGTGCCCTGCGCTTACTTTTCCATATGGCTGCCTGCCTGTCTGATTTGTTTTTGTACTTTGTTGGCGGCTGACCCTCTTTGTCCAATTGCACCCAGCCTTTTTGCATTTTATCATACTTAATGTTCAGATTTGTTATAAGTTGTTGGTTTTCTTCACCATTCAAATGTTCAAGGAATCTGTTAGTTTGTTTTGGGGGCTGAGATCTTGGTGTATTGATAGGAAGGGCAGAGCTTTGAGGAAACTCCGGCACAACAGCCACTGAAAGAGGCTTCATCTGAGCTTTGGCTGCTTTTTCTGGGATTATTCTAATAGGGGAAGCTAGGTCAGTCGGTCTTCCAGCTACAGTAGCACTGGTAGATGGTACAGCTAATCTCTGTGATCTCAAAGCCAATTTCTTGTTGTCAACTGGTGATGAATGAGTAATAGTTGGAGGCATCTCAGTCTTACTCTCACTCCGTAATGGCATTCTTGCCGGTTTGTCTGAAAGGGAAGAACTGCTCTCATCTTCACTTGCAGACTTGTCTCCTAAAGGTTCTACATTTGACTTCTGCGGCAAAGCAACATCACTTGCTTGTGCCTCCTTTCGGAGAACCCGCTTACTTGTTATTGGCGTAATCTGCGTTGGCATTTCAGTCGTTACAGGGCTTTCAATTTTTAATGGACTTGATACCACAAGTGGCTGTTTCTCATTCTTAATGCTTTCTACTACAGCATTTGTAGACGGTGGTTTCTCGTTGGCCTGCGATGTATTTTCTTCTATGTTGTTTTGTATTTCTTCAGGGGTTGCCTCTTCTTGCTGCGAGTTATCAATGTTATCTTCCGCCAGTGTCTCTGGGACTGGGACTGTGTTCTTTTTGGACTCTTCAGGGGAAGATGACTCGATTGAAGGAGGAGAAGTAACAGGAAGCGAAGAAGAGAGGGGTAGGCAGGGAAGGGTCTCTGTAGATGGAAGAGCATGGGTAGCAGTAGGTTTTGGAGATGAAATGGCATCCTTAGATTCGGGCGATGAAACTGGAGTTCCTTTCGATCTAAGTTGTCGCTGCTCGGACAGTACAGACAAACCATCCTTATCTCTTTTTTGTTTCCGGGTTAATTTGGTCTTGGGGGGAAATGTAGATGTTGGACTCGTTGGTGGGGCAGAAGACGGTTCCTTATCTTTCTGAATCTCAGGAGTAGTATCAATAGATTTTACAGCGATGTCTGTTTCAGCTAGATGCTCCTCCGAATGTTTGTTTTCAACAGCTGAATCAACCAAAGTCTTGATGTCGACACTCTGACTAGTTTTAACTGGGGTTTTAGTAGGAGATGTGGTGCTATTTGATCTACGCCGCAGACTTCTATCAGAGGCCGATATGGGTCTACCATTGACAAAACCCACGACCACAGCGTCTGTTTCTCTTATCAGCTTTGACGGTGATGCTGCAGTACCCTTTTTTCTACGCCAAGGGGGCAATTCCTTCAAGAGCGCGTCAAGTGACTTTGTGGACACGTCTTCGTCATTATCGCATTCAGTCTCTAAAGGCACTACACAGTCAGTTGCTTCAGATGTATTCATTTCTGGCTCTTTGTCTACTGGCTCCGCTGCCAAATCAGTGATGTTGGACTTTTCTGTCACGTTGAAGTTGTCATTGTGTTTCTCTGCCTCCGGTTGAAGATCCTGACTTTTCTCATCTTGTATTTCTTCCCCTTTATTCTCGTTTATTTCTTCCTCAACTTGAGCCACTGGTGATGGGGCACTAATCTGCATGAGAACAGGCTCACTGTTGTGCAGTCCATCTAATGAAAGTTGGGGCTCATCTTCATTTATGATATTATCCTCTAATGGCCCCACTACTGTTTCGGTGGCTATTTGCTCAGGACTTTCATGCATGTCCTCTTGAGGCTCATGCTTGTTAAAAGGTTCTGCTTCAAATGGAGCCTGAGAAACAAGTTTTTCAATTCCTTTTGTCTCCACTGAATCTGCACTTGTGTCCATTTCTACATCTGTGTTCATGTTCATTTCTTTGTTTTCTTTTGGGGACCTTATCAGAGAGGAAGGGACCAACTGCTCTTTGCTCTGACACCTGTCTGTCTGACTATGTTCTACTATTACGTCTTCTTCACTGGCTGCTACCTCCACCATATCTCCTGTTCCTGGTATCACACTCTCATTGGACACTTCTTTGGACATTTGCTGACTCATTGTCTCTCTACCTGCTCCAGCAAAAGGCATATCTACATATGGTACACCTTCAGGCTTTGAAAGCATCTGTTTTGGGGTGACCAAGGTGATCATATCTGGCATTGGATTGGGACAGTTGCCCCTCCCCGCCAATGTACGGACAGTTTTCAACTCCCAGATTTCATCTGAATACAAATGTCCTCTGGTGCTTTTCCTGGCATTGCGGCGAGGAAGCAAGACACGCTGCTGTTCCTTAAAACACTCTGTTATTGGTTTGTCAATAAAAACAATGTCACAGAGGCCAAGATCAGGGTCAGCCAATGCTTTACAAGTTGAGTCCCTAATCCCATGATCAGAGGACGACCTGACGGTCTTCCTGGCAGTCCGCGGGGAGTCGGAAGGAATGCTCATGTGAAGTGAAAACAAGTTTGCTGGTTTATCTTTGGCATGCCCAAGAATATCTCTCTGCCTAACATGATTTGCATGACTTGTTTGAGTGTGTCTTTTCATAGAGGAGCTGAGTCTAGCACTGTGATTCTCTGTTCTGTTAGATACATTTGAGTTACCCTGTCTGTCCTCCAATGTGTCAGAGTGAGATGAAAGAGAGGCGTTGAGCACGCATGATAACTTTTTACCGGCAGCAACATTGCTGGCCATGATTTTCATCTTAAGAGGAGCATGATCACCATGGCGGTTGTTTTCTGAATCCAATGGATTTGCAGTGGGAGTGACTAAAGCTTGGTTGCTCCCTGACCCAGGGGTGCGAAGATCCAGAGCAGGGCCAGTTGATGTTTTCAGCAACACAGCATTGTTTGGAACTTTCCCAATTGCATGGATGCTTGGGATAGAATAGGACATATCCTGGACTTCTGACTTGGGAGTGGATTCACTGGGAAATCTAAGCTCAGGGCATGACTTCTTAGGAGTGAGTTCATTGGATTTTGAAGTGGAAAAAGCACTTCCCTGGATCCCAGAGGGAGAGTTAGAAACGTTCTGTGTATTGGAAGATGCCAGTGCTTTGACCTCAGTCTGTAGAAAACCTATAGCATCTACTATCTGTCTCTGATGTTGAGTACAGAGTTTGGCCATGAAGCGTTCCAGCGTGGAGGTCGACTGCAGGTCTGTTGCCTTTGCAATAGGAAAGTCTTGAGACTCCCTGAGGAAAAAAAAAAAAAGATGTTATTGCACACAAAGAAGAAGCATTATTGGTTTATACTATTGATTGGTTTGTGATTATTAAACTTATGCAGAGAAATGTTCCTTTGAATCTGTTTTGACCAGTTTACTGGGCAAAAGTTGGAGCTTAATGTTTGTTCCAAATAATTCACAAACGGTACACAATGTTTATCATTGCATATTTATTAGAAGAATAGGTGATTTTAAAAGTGAGCCTTTCATCCAGTGAACATGACCAATTACATTGTTACAGATATTACATTTTTTTTTCTTTGCACAGTGGTGCCTTTTGTTACAGTATACATCAAGAACATCTTACACATGCACAACACATTTAGTAACGGTGGCCCACTTTGATTAAAAGGTCAAACACATGTTTAAAACTTGAAAGAGCAAATACATTGGGGGGAAATATAGAGTAGATATTTTTTGTCAATTTTTCATGTATTTAATAACTAGTGCAAAGGGTGGCAATTACATATAAGTGCTTAACAACTTAAGACAAATTAACTAGTAAAAGAAAAATCAAGCATGACTAAACAAAGCTAAGTTATTATTTCTAATACTTGGGAGGTTTAGTTTATGTTGATGCAAATCTAATGTTATCAGTCAACTGGGGAGCATGTTTTATATTTGTGGCTAACATTTTTTTCAGTGAGGTAGGTCTATTACAAAATCATCGCGACCTTTGGAGCATCTATATCATTACATTATGCCAAAAATATATTTATAATTCTGAAAAGGTTATTTTCTTTGTAAAAATAAAAAACAAAAAACAAGTCCTTCTAATGATACAGTGGTCTTTCAACAAGAACAATAGACAGATACATGAAACCACATCTGGATTCCTGAGGTGACATGTCACAAGGCTTTGCTGAGTAATGAAAAGGAGACATAGCTTAGCCCACAGCGTGTGCCGCTGAGAGAGAGGTGCTGGCAACTGCATGATGAATATGTGGTCATAAAAAGCTATGTTGAGCATTGTCTGACATCTTATGCTCCAGACAAATACTTGCAAACTATTTCTATACAATAATACATTTTGCATTGCCTAATAACATACTAAGAAAATGTATTCTTTGACTAAGTAAAGCTGAAACCTATAGCGTTTCACATATCACCCTTAAGCTATAGAGGAGATGGTGGTATATCTATTGTAAAGCTTGCTGTGTAAAGCTTGCTATGTAGCCGATACCTAGTATGATACTCCAGCTATAAAGCATAAGTGGCAAAGTGAAATTTAGATTATTAATATTATTGGAGTATTGTCAGTATATTCGACTAGATGCAAAAAGAAACAAGAAGGACAGTGATTTAAAAATAAACATGGATTTCAGCTCCAATTCGCAAATGAAACAATACACCCTTCAAGAGGTGTAAATGCTGCAATGCAATATCTGAGATATATCTTAGGACTTTCTGTAAATATCTTCAGAATGTCTGCATGTTACATTAAGTCTTTTTTTTTAAATTAGATGTGCTGTTTGAGGCACTGAACTTGAAAGAAAAAGTTGAACTAAATAGCCATTGGTCAACATCGTACCTGTAGGTAGGTTATATTGACATTCATTGTGTAACAAGTATGAAAAACAATAAAACGGAGAAAGACGCACTGAGATTTGTTGGGATCCAAACACAAAGCTGTATGGCATGCCAAATATCTCAAATGTACATTTTTTGAAAAATAATTAAGAGATTAAAAAAATAACATTTGCTGGAACCTGACCAATGTTTTGCTAAGCCCTCTTTAAATCCTGCTTGCAAGCTTCTAAGGAGTAAAGTGGAGTCCCTGAATAACTTGTGGTAAGTGTTTCATCCCTGAGAGTTTCGCTCTCTGTTTTCCTTTGCAATAAAGTAGGGAACTGACACAAAGTACATGCCTTGTTCTTCCAGAGGATTACAATAACTAAACAAGCAGAAGCAAACATAACTCTTTTCAACAATATTTCAAGCACACAAACATGGAGGTGTTAACTCATCAACAATGTCCATATACTGCACATCGCGGAAAGAAATTATCTGGCAGTTAAGCACAACTATATTTTACCACAGGTCCAGTGAGCCATTAACCAGATTTGAACAGGTTTCTGGATATTTAACTTTCACAGTTTATCTACTTGATACATTGTTGACTTGACAGTAAACACACCAACACTCCAGTATTTTCAATAAATCACCCCCAAAGATAAACCGTCACCATATACAACTAACTTCCCACTGACACAAATGATTTAGTCCAATCATGCAAAACATACCCAGTGTCATTCCTGTACAATGTTAAATCAAACATAAATTATGTACATTTTCTTTTTAAATACAGGCATATTCTCTGCTCTGGACCTTCAGTCCTCAAACAATATATTTACCAAGCAAAAGTTTCCCAACACAATAAAGCGGGACAATCTTAAATGCTATCCCTTCGCATTTATTATGCAAGATAGTTAAATATATATTTTAAGCATTATCTTCCTATGTCTATTAACACTTCAGTGGACAACCTTTTGTTTGATTAAAGCCATTTACATTCATGGTTACTTAAGTGGTGATAAAATCATTAGTTCATAAATATTGATTAATAAATATTGCATTAACAAAATAACTCCACAGATCAGTTTGTGTAGAAATGCAAGGGGATGTAAACTCTTCCCCCACTATGGAAATAAAAAGGTTTCCCTAAGTCACAACTGTGCGAACAAAAGCCGGACCCGAAAAAAGGGAAAAGGATTAAGACAACATAAATATTAAATATATGAGGAGGCAATTAACTACAAGGATACGTTGAAATATTTACACACGGTTGAATTCGACAGATATTCTACCGTCCTATATAACTTTTTGAAAGCTTTTTCTGTAAACTATTCACCTTCACTCAAATATTTTACAATAAACTGTGTTGTGTACATGAGAAATTGCTACATAAAACAGCTATGAGAACAGTAGACTGTGATATGGGATTTCCAGATGAGGTAGTCGGCCATTAGATTTGCTACAATAAACAATAAAGGAGCAAACATTTAATTTTTTTTACCCGTCAATGAACCCAAAACGCATGTATGCCTTTAACAAATTCATTAAGCATGCGTTTAACACTCGGAAGGAGAAAATAAGTGTGGCTTTTGAGTCATGCTGGATGATTGTCAATGCTAAAAAATACAGTTAATGAAAGCGAAACAGCGAGTAGATTTGACCTAATGGTATTAATCTTACAAGTGTACTTGGAGTGGCTACTCATTTTTTAACCAAGACAAAGTGATGACGACATTTTGTGAGTATGTTAAAAAATATATGCAATTAAGAGCGGTTGATTTGTTAAATGTATCAAAAAGTTTAAACTAAACGTGAGAGGAGATGCAACCCAATTTAAAACAAAGTAATAAAGCCTGTATTAGGAGAAAGTTACGGAGGAAATTCAAAAAGTTAGAAGGTGTACCATCCAACAAAGTTATTCCATTGTTACATTGCGATTAACATACAAGTGTGCGAGTCCCTGAACTATGTTACTGCTGAACCAACTCTCACTTCAAAATGTTGACATGTTTAAGTTTATGTTATGTTAGGAGTTAAATGCTTGAGGTGAAATAATCATTTCTTTTATCAAAACATCAATTTTCATCCAAGCAACATTTATAATGCTGGAGGAAAAACAAAAGACCAAGATTTTCTCGAGCTGTGCATCGACCTGATAGAAAGAATATTGGGCCATGATCCCATATTCTGGAATGTCCTGAGGTATAAGTGGTAATGCATGATGAGGCGTCCTGATAGAGCAAAAATACCGGGCAAACATTCAATGAAAAGGGTTTTTAAAAGCTTTTTATCCTTAACGTGTTGTACCATTCCCATGATACAACACAGAAACACTCTCAAGGAAATGGTGGAATGAGTGTTAACCCGCACTCTCACCTGGTTCAAGATGAAGAGATTTATTTTCATTGAATTTTTGCCTTGGTAACTTCAGCAATAGGTGGATGTGGGTAGAGGCATGACAGCAGCTAACATGTTTGCTAACTTTTCTAGCTAGCAAATGTTAGCAAGCTAGCACAGTCAGTCAGTCAGTGTGTTTGACTCCAGTTGCTAATATTGATGGATAAAAGTTGTGTTTTTTATAAAATAATGACTGAGCTAAGAGCTTCTGAAATGACAGATTTTGACTCTAACATACTTATTAACATGACGTAAACCTTTTTAACATATACATTATTGTATTTTAAAGAGTTAAAAGTTAACTGATAACAAGTGTTCAGCTAGTGCGCTATTTTGACTGTGAATAATCAGGTCACTAAAACAGAGTATCATCCCCACAAACCTGATACATGTTATTAATTGACCCGAGGAGAATTATTTATCATGTGCCGAGTGCGAGCGAGATGAGTACATATGTGCTGTATATGTATAATTGTTTATACATCGTAAATAAAAAAGGAACAATTCTGCCCTTCTCCTGTGGAGAAAGACATTCCCAGAGATAATACCTGAAATCTGAAAAAGACAAGCCCTGATTCACAAAGAACTGTGATGCTCTGAAGGCTTACACTGGCACTGAAATGCTACTGAAAACTAGTTAAGGTAGGTTGTGAAGTTATCGGAGAGTAGAACACGCATACTTGTCAGTAAGACATCCTGAAATGTTACCTCAAAAAAGGGGGGTTTGGTCATCAACCCCTTTAGAGGTGACTAACATGAAGCAATGCTTCAGTTAAGCTTATCTCTAGCTGAGGTATATTTATGTGTATACAGTGATCTACTATCTGAGAGATGTTTTTCTTTGACTGACAAGTATTGCTTCCCAAACTGCATTTATCCTGAGTGCAGTGAAGGCAATGAAAAAAAATACCATTCATAAAAGGACAGCAACACATAGGGATAAAAGTTAGGTGGCAAAGATGTGTCGTGCTTGACTTGGATTCATAAGGAAAGTGAAAATTCTGGACAACACATCATGCTATTGCAACAGACTAGAATAATAAATAAATGTGTTGTATATAGTGTTTGGAATAAATACATACTCTGAATATAATTTACTTACATCTCCAGTGTCAATTTTAGTGATAGAAGTGCATTTGCAAAACAGTGACAGAGACCTTCGCTGTCATCCATAATGACCTACATACTCTGTAGGATAAACTATATGTTCATTTTGAACATAACAAGTGCTCTGAACAGTACTGAGAGAAGACACCAAGGGGCGCCACTTCCTTAACAACTATTCAATATGGCTCTAACATGTTTAAATACATGTTAGAGCCAGGAATGACTCATTTAAAAACATAACCAAAATAAATAAATTTACATTTACTAACAATATTGTTAATTATAATTAGCAAGTATGCCTTCCAGGCACAATATATAGGTCAAGGAGACACTTTGAGTGTGCAAAATAGATGGCCATAGCATTTTTAACTGACCAAAAGGTAGGTGAAGAATTAAATAGATGAATAATAAATATAGGTATAAGATTTAAATGTTACTGTAAACCACTAAGGCTTGTGGGAAAACAAGTCAGCTACTACCACTGTCTGGCAAATGCAACCTCTGCAGGGTTAAAAAGTACATCATTATTGGTACATTAAAGTTATATCACTCATTTGATGAGAGGCTTCCATCATGGAAATCCTCTCCGTTCTCGTCAGATACACTCTCCCTTTTGACAATTTGCTGGGAGAGTTGGGTCCTCTCTGGGGACCGTGAAACACCATGCTCCTCTATCTTTAACAGCTTCAGTTTCTTTTTGGGTGGGTGTTTCAAGGTCCCCAGTCGCTCTTTCACTTTGTATTCCAGGGTGCTGTGTGGAATGCCATAGATGGTTTGGGCTTTGGACACACTCATTTTCCCACCCATCACCATATCGATAGCCTCTTCCAGCAGGTCGGTGTTATACTGTCGGTATCGCCCACGCTTCTTCCTCGGCTGCTTGTTACCTAGATCTGACTCTGATTCCTGAGGGTAGCTTCCCTGAGAGGATTTGCGGTCAGTGTCATAAGGCCAATAGTCCTTTTCTGAACCTGAGCTACTAAAACCCCCACTGCTCTTTTTCTGGATCTGTCTGGGTAGTATGGAACGAAGTGCCTTTCCCAGACCGTTCTCATAAGCTGATCTCGAATACTCGGTGGAAAGGGAATCCCAAGACGAGTCTGTTGCTGAGGTCAAAACTCGCACCTGGGGGATCTTGAGGTCAAAAGGTGATGTATGAGAAAGAGCGAGGCTGTGGTCCCTACAGGTCTCCTGGAGGTTTCTTTTGTCATAACCAAGTGACTTTGTCAAAAGTCCAGCAGCCTCCAACAACCTGGGTATGTCTTTAAGGTGCTCACTAGCCTCGCTGTTGGTTTTGAGTTTGAGGAGGGCCCCAAAATGACTTTTAGAACTCCAGGAGGAAGATCCATTTTTGAAAAGGTCAGAAGGTCTGGAGCCGTTGCCGAGAGGTGACTCAGGGTCGCTCTCCAGATCGGGCTCCTCTTTGATGTGCAGCGAGTATGCAAGAGCTGAGGAAGGCTTATAACGGTTGGAGTGGCCGATATTCTCCCTCCTCATCCCATCCTGTAGGCTCTTCATAAACAGCCCGACTTGCCCGTCTGCTCTCAAGGAAGGCCTGATTGGATGGAAGGAAATTGGGTGTAAGCAGAGCTTGCACAGTGCCTGATCTCTCTTTTCTAAAGGAGGATGGGTTGGGGAGGGGAGGATGTTGGCCACTCCTTTATTATATGACCTTGCTTTGGTAACATCACTGTTTTAAAATACCTGACTGCGTAGTTGAGTGTGACTTTTAAGAACAAAAAAAAGTGTCAAGTTTGACAATTTTTTATTTAATTGCTGTGATTGTTTACAACTTTTGCATCAACATAATAGATAAGAACGAAAAAGAAGAGAAAGGGCAAAGAAACATCAAAACAAAAGCAAAGAAAAAAGGCATTTATTGGAGTCTTGGCTGAAAAAGCATAGCCAGAAGGAGGCAATACTTGTTATTGCAGTAAGGCAGCTTGGCACGTAGCTGTTGAGCACGGCACACTAACAATGTCATACAAAATGACTGATGCAAAGCTCTGGACATTTTGTGTGACGTTACCACTGAACAAGCGCAGAAATAAAAGAGTAAGCCAGCAGAGGGTTTTGTGTGTCGAGAGTCAAAACCCAACTGAAGTATGGTCACACAAAGATACAAATAATGCAATTCACTTTTTTTTTGTATTAATTAATAAAATATAATAGAAAAATCAGAGCCAGCTTTATACCTTTAGACTGATCATCACTTTTTGATTATATCAGCTCTCAAAACATTCATTGAGGAGCATGCAAAGCCTCTAGTGTTTAATAAATATATATGTCATTATCGGTACATTTAAGTCCAGATGGATACAACAACTATCAAGGGGCTTTGCTAAAGGGGAAAACAAAAACAAAATCAATTCTATTTGGATAAAGGTATCGTCTCAAATGTTTGATTTAAATCAAGAATTAATTACACGGCTACAGCAAATTCCATTTAAATTGGAATCATGTCATGTTTGTGTACATATTGCACGTATTCTAGGAAAACTACCTGTGTTGGCAGCATAATAACAATGCTTACTGTTTGAAAATATAAAAACTTAATTCAATTATTCCTCGGGAGAAGAACATGATGTGCAAATATGACATTATTTATTTAAACACCTCTACTTCTGCTACAACATAACCCTAACCCTCTGAGGATTGGGCTAAAATAAATATGTATAGCTATATCCGCTGCATTTGTGCAGGGCCACAGTCCTCAATGAGACTTTTTGACCAAAAGGAGTTGCAAGACTCAAGAACATGAGCAAGACTGAGTCCTGTCGTAAATCATTATAATCAGGCCAGCCAGTTCCTTGCCAGACAATAATGGACCACAACAAGGCAGAGCTAACCAAATCCTTTTAAGCCGAGGTAGCTCGCAAATTACCAAGATGCTACCCATTATTCCCTAGCTGGCCATACCAGTGACAGGTCACACAGAAATTAGGACCAGGCGGCTGCATTAAACTCATGTCTGCAAGTCATTTATTTTGAATAGCAGCATGAAACAACTGCATCCACAAGGACACACTGGAGTGAAGTTTAAATTTAGAGTCTAGCAGCAGAAGCACACAAAGAATGTCCCTCTCTTGCAGTTAGAAAAACCCTTATCTCTTGTTTATTTGTAGCAAAAACACTTTTAGCACAACCCTGTGTGTTGCTGTTGATTTTGTTCAAGCCTCTGAGATGTCAGGACTGAGCTAATGCAAATTAATTGATGCCACTAACTCTATCCCCTCATTCCAAATTCATTTTGTGACTCACCTAAACTACAATGTAACATGTCTTTGAAATCATCACGACTTAAGGAGTGGAGACTAAATAAAAAAATATATCTTACCCTTTGAGTGTGGAAGTGGCTGGAGAAAGGCAGGGGCTACGGTCAGACAGGCTGCCGCTGCTGTAGCGGTTCTTTTTGACAGATAGGTCAAGAACTCCATCTGTAAAAAGAAAAAAAAGGAAGGAAGGAAGGGAAAAAAACTCAATGTTAAGTTCAGCCTGGCCAACTACCAGAGCCCTAGCTCAGGCATGAATAGCTGCCCTGTTGCAGAAGTGTTCACACTACCTTGTTCAGTAGGCAGAGACGGGGGCCTCTTGATGGTGAGGTCCAGAGGAGCCTCCTGGTCAGCCATGAGGAGCTTGCTGAGGACGGGGTTCTGGTTGTGTGCGGGCCCAGCCACGGTGGCAGCGGGGCTGGCAGGAGGAGAAGCCCCTGAGATCAAGGAGGGGGTCGGCAGGCTTTGGTCAGAGCAAGGCTGGGAATCAGAGCCAGTGTCCTGAGAGGAGCTGTTCTTTGAGGTATATTCGGCAGCAAACTGTCGCATCATTCTCTGAAGGATCTCTCGAGCCACTACAGGAATGTTTGGGTCCGAGAAATGTGGCACATCTGAAAGGAAATACACATGGGGTTAAAAACTGTCAAGTACCTTTAGTGAAAATTCACTAATGGATCTGTAGCAATAGGGTAGAACATTTACATTTATAATTTACAATAAAAGCAGGTTCCCTGTTAATAAGCATTTTAGTGTCATAACATTCAAGTACTGTTGCAGTAAGACTCGCCTTTTCTGCCAAGGACTGCATGGAGAAATTCCTCGGCTTGTTTCTCTAGTCGGCTGATTGTGTTCTGATCTTTAGCCAGGAGAGGTTTCGGTTTGTCTTCAATCCCCTCGTTGGTTAAGCCAATTAAGTGTTCCTGTCAAATGACAACCCTTTTAGTCAACGGTCTTCAGACCTAAACAGGACATATATACACTGACCAATACATGGGAATGTTGTTTCATTCGCTTTACTCAGTTCAGACTGATATTGCTCTCTTTATGTAATTTGACGACAACTAATTCTGCTAGTAAACAGCAAAGTATTAGAGAGCATGGGCACTTCAAATGCTTTCCTAACATCCATCCGTCTTCTGATTTTAGTATTTCCTCCAACAACTTCAGAAATTCTGAAAGACACCATCAGAATGTAAGGAAAGAAAAAGAGAAAACATTAAATCTTACCTTTACATTGTCTCGTCTCAAACAGCAGAATAAACAATTTTCATCGAATGACCAGTCAGACACTGCTGTCGGCTCAAGGTCTAAGGGCACAGAACAGATGACAAGCAATGAAATACAACTGTGTAACAAATCTATGCTTTTTTGCTTTTCTAAACAATGTGTATTATCAGACAACCTAAAACTCAAGTGCCTCAACATGGAGGACACTAGAGGAAGATTTGGCCCACGGTTATAGTAAGAGCTTTTAATAAAAGGTGCAGCAACAAACCTTTTGACATTTAATAACCGCCCATCATAGGACGATCAGGCTGCGGTCACTGCTTACGTCAAGCCAATGCCACATTGTCACAGCAAATATACATCCAAACCACTTCTGCTCCCTCCTACGCCTACTACCAGAATGAATATCTTTAAAAAAAGGGGGTTCATAATCAGACTGAATCTTATGTTTGTTGGTTTCAACAGAACCCTATTTTCTTTTTATATTAATATATATTTATTAAGCATATTGAATGATGCCCTGTTGTAGGAGCCTGGGAATGGGAAGATTAGTATTGCCACCACCAACTACACTATAGCTATTGTGCATAGGAAAATAAAGCCTTAGAATCTTTGAATGTTAAATAGTTGGGATACATCATAACAATGGTTTTGTTTGAAACCTACAGTCTCCAACAATCAGTATGCATTATTCTTCAGATGACGACTCAATAACAAGACAAAAATGTATGAATGAAAGAAATGCATGGGCTAGGAAATAAAGGGTTTTTGATTTGTTTCGGTGAGACTGAGTGAATTAAAAGTAGAGCGATACATTTTAACATAATGTCCAGCAGCCGTATTCCCCCCATTGCTATTGTAGAAGGTCTACTTAGACTTTGACAATCGTCTCAGTGAAACTTGAATGAAAACCAAATTAATGGCCACTATTGTCTCACTAGCATCATGCATTTTAAAAATGTCTGTAGTACACTGTGGACTTTTACACTAGCCCCACCACGCCCTCCTAAACAGCAACCCTGTGGGAATACAAGGCGTCTTCTCTTCTGCAGTCTGGTAGAGTGAATGTAGAGAGGTACCACATGGTACAATGCAGCAGTCATGACGACACTTTCAGATTTAACCAAAAAATCTCATTCATGCACTTACCTTTAAATAATTTGAGGTCCTCTTCCAGCCCTGGAGTAAATAGACCTTCGAGAATGCTCTCAAACCCTGAGGAAAAATATGAAATACAATAAATATGCAGTCAAAAATGCTATACATTTGGACGTAGTATTTGTTAAGATATACTCCTAACTGAGGCTTTGTGCTCAAAACAGCAGAACAAAATGAATCACTCTTTAGGGCAGCCTCATTCGCCCAAGGGCCCAAATTAATTTTTTGTAGTCAAGGAAGAAAAGAAAATGGAGCATGGTCTACTGTACATCACTGACACTTCACGTGATAATGTCCAGTACATTCACCCAGGCAGTCTTTGCCTTTCCATTTCTTCTTGACAACCCCTATGAGCAATCCCCCACTTCTTTTAAAAAAGACACATTATCAGCTTTCACCCCAGGTTTTTACTTCAACAGTAAATACATGCACTTCATCCTCCTGTTGCCAAGCAACTAAAGCACCTACAGAGTTGGGAGTGACTGCTTGCTGTAACATTAAGGAGAAGAGCGCTATATGATAGTGTTAAAGTATCCTATACAATGTTGCAGATTGGGAATCCTGCCAAACCAAATGTTCACATTTCACTAAATGCAGTTAAGCAACTTCAAAAGAGCTAGCAAAACATCTGTTATCACATAAACAGAAAATCTTGGATGCATTACTGATGAGATGGTGGTGTCCTACAGCCACAGCTGTTTCAAAGATGTAATGTGTTATGCTGCATAGGACTTGGTTCAACAGTGCATTAACACAATATATGCAATGTCTGCTTATTGCCGCGGGGTCAATGTAACAAATCCAAAACCACTATATGCATTAAATCAAGCGCTAAAGAGGTCAGGATAACATCTGTCTACTGAACTGGATTTTAAATGAGTCAGAGTGCTACATCAAATGAAGTAGGCACCAAAACACAGAAGTAGAATGAATCAAACCATTCTGACATAAAAAAGCCAAACAAATGGCTGTAAAAAAGAAAAGAGGAAATTAAAAACATATTTGCATTTGTAGAATTGACAAATTATTGAAGAATTTAGACTTATATTTAAAATAATAAAAACATCACAAAATTACCCAAATGTGTACCTAACACACTAACATAGTACTGAAAGCCTATTTACAGTACGTCTTCACAGAAAAACTAGTGAGAAAATGAACAGTCCTTACCGTCCACCCTCTTCCAAAACTCACAGTGGATTCAATAAAAGCTGTCATCTGTTAAAATGCCCTCGCTCTGCTCCCTACTAATTCCCACCCACTTTTCAACAGCCAAACATAAAGAGGGGAGTGTGGGGGGGGGGTGAAACTCTGCCTTGCCTATAGCTGCATGAGTCTGTTTCTGGGTTAGTGCACAGGACTTCAGCTGAAGCTATCCAATCCTATTTTCTGAAATATTTCAAAGGCAGGGGGAGAAAAGTAGGTCATCCACTTTCGTTTGACAGAGAAGCGGCATGACATCAAACTACTCTTCAGGAATTCAGTTTAGGGCATTTTAAATGTGTCATAGTGTAAACCATGACTTTGAGGCAACGTTAACATGCATTCAGACTGGCAGATAGCGCACATCCCACTATGTGACATCATTGAATCATAAAAAGAACCCCTTCACAAAAAAACTAATCCAGCAACTTAAAATATTTATAGCATGTATGGCTGTCATGCAAGCTCTACAAAATAAATGTGTATAAAAACGGAATAATGGCTACAGTTAAAATGCACAATAAAGGGAAAGAAACACCATCACTGTATCGAGTGCCCTACAGTTGCCATAAATGTAACGTACTTTCGGATGTAAAATTAACTGAGAATGGTTAACTTTTCCGCTATATTTCCTGTTTAAAGAGGGACATTCACAAACTAATTAACTTAAGAAGGAATAAGGCCACCATTGAGCTCTCACAACATATCTGGTTTGGTGTATGGTTATCTGAAGCCAGATACAATAATAAGCAAAGGTATAAAGTGATATTGAGAACAAAGCAAAAAGAAGACCGGTAGTATTTGCCATCGGGCTTTAGACCTAATTATAAACATATTGAGGATTAATGAAAATGACATACGAGCGATATCAGGTTAATGAGGCTAACAGAAGTCCTTTCATCCACTGCAAAAGTGGGGAGGCAGGAATCTAGAGTTCTTTTTTTTTTTTTATCGTAGGCCTTATATACAGCATATTACGTTTTTTTTTTAGGACAACGTTACTCATTCTCGTTAATCATTTTTCTCTATACGAGGAAAAGGATGATTCAAGACCATTTTGTTATTTTCAACCCTTGTTGCCTTGTTTATTTATTTACTCTAAATGCATAATGTGGCTTTCCTCCAGACAATTTATAGTCGAGTGAAGGCAAAGCTTAAATTTAGGTATGCTGAAATGAAAATGTATTAACATACCAAGTGTGTTTGCTGAAATGAAAACATCTCTGTTGAGGAGATTAGAAGAGCCACTTTTGTCTACAATTTAGTACTTAATATAAAAGTTTATTTTAACCAAGGAATAGAAATGATAATAAGAATTTTTTTTTAAAACATCACTGGCATTATATACTGTAAGTTTACTATTGGTCCATTTGAAATGATACATTTTAAATCACATACTTGCTATTATTCCTAATCGTATAGCAAAGTCAAAAGTTAACCATTATATGACGACGATATCTCAAATTCAGTAATAACAGATACGAGCAGTTAAATGCAGTTTTATGTTTTAATCATAGAGAAATGCTGTTTATCTTTACCATTACTCTCCCCGGACTAATGACCATTATTGAGACATCTATGATATGAAGCACATTTTGACTGAAGAGAAAATGCTCTCTCCCCAGAATCTAGAGATACCTACTCTTTCATTTCTCTGAGGAGGGCTTGGTTAAAAGGTAAAGGACATCTCTGCAGGACTAGCTTTCCACCAAGCTTTTCAAACAGGAAACATGAGAAAGAAAGTCATCTGATTTTTAGACTAACTTACATTGCTTACAATTGGGTTTTTCTGCCCCAAAAAAATAAATAATATATAATATATATTTTTCAATTCAAAAAGATGTCATGGTGTGTAACTTAAGGAGATCCTATTGGTAGAAATTGAATATAATACTCGAGTCACACTAAATTAAAAAGCGTTTTGTTTTTGTCTGGACAGAATGTGAACTTTACGTTGACTAAGGGCGCATCCTCCTCTGCGAGGTTACCATGTTTCTACAGTAGCCCACAATGGATCAAATAATGGCTCCAAACTAGGGCTGCACGATATTGAAAAAAACTGACATTGCAATATTTTTTTCCCCTGCGATATATTGCGGTTTTTTTTTAAACTACATTTAACCGGATGAAGGATTTTAGTCACAGACGTCTGGATCTTAACTGGTTGACTCATCATCCCTTAAGTCATGATCTAACATGTCATGATAATGCATGTTGCTTACCCTCAAATAAGGGGGTTCATCTGTGAATGAAGAACTTTTGTATCCAAAATAGTTCCAGATGGCAGATGTTGCTTTTCTTTTTGGAAGTAAATCTTCATTCTCGCCGGTATTGTCCTCCTCTGCCTCGCTAATTTTTTACCGGTGTTTTGATGTTCTGCAAACTAGCGGGGCGGGGCCTGCTGTGATCTGATCAAGAATTATTGTGATTGGTGGTTTGCTGTGCATACAGAGCCTGCATGTCACTCACTCAAGTACCCCTGACATGAGAGCTGCGCAAGTTTTCCTCTTGTAGCAAGCAGCAAAATAATTGTAACATGACGTGTTTGAGTTAATGTACCTACATCATTCATATCGCACGTCCTAAAAAACCAAAACAAAAAAAAAAACATAATTATAAAAAATTTATAAAATTGCACGTCCCTGCGATGTGAATATCATGCATGCGCATATCGCGATTATCGCCATGACACGATATATCGTTAAGCCCTATTCCAAACCGTCTTTAACCTTTCGCATAGCCTAAATGCTATCGTAGTATTGAGTTGGTTGCAATCGTACCGCTATATGCCACTAAATCCTACTGACAGGACCAATAGCCTTCTTCTGACCTACATCTCAAGCCAATCAGAAAAAATGAAGTGCGGAATGATTAGGAGTGTACGACACACTCTCCGCTAGCACTTTGAAAGATTAATCCCACAGATCTACGATCAGCTTAACCTTCCTAAATCCTAACTTTAACCTATGATGTACATCTCTGTGAATTGAACATAATGAGTGCTAAAACCCCTCTTTACTGCTTATTGCTAGCTCCACGTGGGTTGGTGGTGTGGCCAAAAGGTCAATATTCAGCATATGCAGATTGCAGTGGAAGTACACAACAGTGAACAGGCCTATTTGACGTGGACATGTATTTCTTTGAAAAAGTCCATGATGTTGCTCGATTCCACAGAGGATTCCTTCAGATAACTTAGCGATAATGTTTTGTGGTCCTTGGTTACAAGTGTCTTAATTGTTTAAGCCATTTTTGAGAAATCTTTGTTTGTAAATTATACAATTCTGCGCATTAACCTCCTCTGCAGTTGTTAAGACTTCATCCAGAGTCCTACATTTTACTCAGTTTTATCCGAGCAATTACTACAACATTCTAATAATAATAAAAAATTATATTTCTATAGCGCTTTTCTTGAACCCAAAGACACTTAAATTATGATTATGATAGAGTATACCCAAATTAATCCAAAACAAAAAGGAAGCAGCTACGGAAATGTCATGTCCTGTGAGCCTTTGAAAAGCCTAAAACTAAAAAGCTATGTATTAATGTGTATAGACAAAATGGATGGACTTTTACTTCCACAACCTGGCTACAAGCGATAATGGGTTTGGTATCGCTATGGCACCTGTCCACTCACAATTATGCCAAACATTTATAAATCCGGTCAAATGTTTTCCTCTGATGAACCACAACTGTTTCTGACAAACCAAAACCTGTGTGGCAGGAAGGGTTATGTGAACATATTATAAGTATCAAGGACTTCCATATGAATTCCTTTTACATCCATAATTTCTACAAGCAATCACCCACATTTTAATTCTGAACTTAATCATGCTTAAATGTATGCATCACAAAAAACCCAAATGTTAATAAAATGCTTACATTTAGCCTCATCTTGAGACTGCAGTGATCTTTCCAGTGGATGACCCACCCTTCCCTCTGCCGCTCTAGTGCTGAGGGTGTACAGTGCTGCATCAACCCCCACTCAGCCCATCCCCCACTGCAACTACTGTACAAACGCTATCTCTGAAGGAGTGACCACAAGCTTGCAAACGGGAGCTTCCCTAAGCTTGAATCAGTACGCAGCCAAAATAAACGTCGCTATATCTGGCACCTTTGGCTCCAGCCTTTGGAATACACATAGATTTATCCGCCATACATTATTTTATCTTATAAAAACCTGCAGCATGTTTTAAAAATCCAACCAATGTTGTGTGTGATGTTTAAGAGTGAAATTTTGTATGAGGAGGGTTACCGATATCCCTGAGCAGCGCTGTTATGAAGATGTTAGAAGGGGCTGGGGGCTGAGGATGAGTGCAGAGATGAGAAAGTTGCACAAATTAGTCGAGATACACAACATGACTATTTTCATCCGACGGCAGATCATCACAGAGACCACTTCTAATGCATAACCATCTCAAATGCGTTTACTGTTGCTTACTAAGCTATATACAAAAAGGGAACTCACTGTGGGTAAAAAAACATGCTTACACATTACATGGGCGTGAGCAAAAAGTGCTTAAAATGTCATTTGGCTACACAATGTGTTCATTAGGAGAAGCATGCAGTAGTTTGGAGCAGGCTTTACATCAATGAGGTGGCAGCTTTGGGCAACATCTACAGCAAGGAAACAGCCTCTGCATGAATACTTAACATGATATGATGCAAACTGACAGTCAAATGGTGTAATGCTGCGCAAAGCATAACTTTGAATAACAAATATGATACGGCCATTTTTTTAGGCAAATATAAAGAAAAATATGCATGCACACACAGTGTGCTGAAGTACACGCAAAGAGAAACACACAATTAAAGAAAGTGCATTCCATGTGAATCCATTAAAGCTGGTGGTTATGTTTGCAAAATGTCAACAAACCTCAGCCGGCTTTTTTTAAAGGAAAATGTAGGCCAAAAGCCCATCAGAGGGGACATGCTGGAGGAGGAAATGGGCCATGCTAAAGTTTAAATAATAAACAAGACAATCTGCCTGATGTCAATATTTGCTTGTCATTTATTTGAGCACTTTAATCTCACTGACATGTCCAATGTAAGCATGAATAACTGGCATTCTCAGATGTTAGCAAATGTTCCCAAATCCACACAGAACACACATTTCCACACACACGGTTTTCATCTGGGGGCTGGTGGACCATGAACACATGTAGAGGCAAACATACAGAGACAATTGTTGCTGCTGTTCTATGGGACAATTGCCCTTGTCTCAGTTCGACTGCTCGCATTAAATACACAAAGACAAAATGTCCATTTCAGCATTGGCAGGGTGGTGGTGGCGTGCAGCCCTCTCCACCAAAAAGCCAAACAAAAGTATGTCCTTGTTGTCATGGACAGAACATGCCATTCTGCCGAGAGCAGACTGATGCTGTTGTCATGTACTCTGCAGCTTTACAATAATAGCCCAAACACAAGGGATATTTGTCAATCATAAAGGGGGTACTGACTGACTGGACTGCCCTGGGTCTGGGGGTAGTGAGTGACTAGTCAGAAACTATTATTCTTCCTCCAATTCGTTGTAATAATGAGCACACCTAGTATTGTAGACTTTAACTGGAATAAGTTTCTTCTTGCTGGGTCTAAATTGTTAGCTTAGTCATTGAAAGTAAGCTCTTAGAATAATATGTATATTATAACGATCAGCTGTGCATGTATAGCCCCGCTATTCCACCAAATAATGCTGCACATTTTTAGATTGTGCCTTTCACATCTTACATAATCCGTGACATAATGGCTGTTGAACTGGACTATATGGCTGAAAGTCACACACGGTTGGCATCGTCGACTGGTTTGTGTCAATTGTTCTGCTGCTCCTTCTGGTTATGAAATCAGCTTCTTCCTTTCCTAAATAAACTAAGAGCTGAAAATGTTTAACATGCATGAATTTGTGCACACACATACTACACGCCTTGTACATACATTTAAAAATTCAATGAGACCTATTCATAGAGCAGCCCGATGAAGTGAGAGTGATTAAATGTGACATTTTGAGATCAGCAGTGCCAGAAGTGGTGTTCTGGGTTTTAAATACATTTGATGATGCATGTGTTCATTTTAAATTCAGTTTCATATTCTGCCCAAAACCATGAAATGCATGCATTTAAATTAAATATAAGTTGCATAAAAATAAAAAAAATCATAGAGACCTTATTCAAAACATGGACAGACAGATTTATGTGTATAGACTTGTTTCATAATTTAAGTTTGCAAGTTTGTTTTCCTATTTAGCCAACAGAAGGCCTAAGTATGAGAAGGAAATGGTTTCTTAATGAGTAACACAGGAAATTATTTGATTCACATTACCCTATGAGAAAGATATAAGTGAAGATCAACTTTGTTTCAACCAGACAAAAAGTAGTAACTGATTTGATTTGAACATTTGGGTCACGGAGCAACTCTCTCCTCATTTGTGTGATCAATCTGTGTGTGATGGTGCTGAGTGTCCACATTGGCTGTTGCTATGTTACCCACTCAGAAAAAGGAGGTTGGCAAGGCATGGATTTAAAAATGGCCTCTACATCTTCTTCAAGTCCTACTGTAACATTGTATAACACCACTAAAGTCCACTGATTTTATCTGCTGATAGTTAGTCCTCAAACTTCTCACAGATACATTCTTATTGTTTAAGGAGGAACAGGTTCTTTTAATAATCGAGTGTTACAAAAAAACATGAATTAACAACAGAAAGGTCTAATGTCCTACAGCAGCAAAGTAAAATGGTTGTACACTACTGAAAGCAAAGCAGTTAAAAAACAATAACTTTTCTAACAAATTCCAATGCTTAGGCAGACCAATTGTTTGTAAACAACAAAAGTTAAAGATATTGAATGTAATACTAAATGTGAAATCAAGGGATTGCACCTAGAATGCATCTCAGAGAGAAAAAATGTGTCTGTAGGCTACCAAATTGTGTTACTATCTAACCATAAAGCAAAAACATTTCACTAAAAGCCAACTGTCAAACTGCAAGTGGCACTAGTTGAGGAAATGTCATTTGACTCTGTGTTCTGGACCAAAAAGGTGGACAGACACCGCAATAAGCATAGCTAAAAGTCTTCCTGTCCAACCCCCCAGGTCCTGTTCTGCAAGCTCCTGCTATTTGACGAAATTGCTTTTGTTATAATTGTTCAAAATAGTTTCGATTCAACTCACCCTCATACAAATATGCATAATAAAATAGCTTTAAACCCTCAAGTCAAGAAGGCCTTTTTAATTATTTGCTTTAAGGGCTACTTCAAGTTAGTGTAACAATACCAACAAATAAAAAGACCCCTAGCAGCAAGGTTTCTGCCACTTCCTCAATACATAACCTCATGCATGCCTGAGAAAAACAAACAGAAAACATCAACCACGGGCATATCTCGCCCTCCCCCATCCAAAATACTACAGTATCATTACACGGGAACGCGCATCTCAGCAAACGGGGTCTTTTAGCCGACGCAACGCATAGAGACACTCCCTTTAAAACAAGCACGGTGCCCTTTAAACAAACTAACGCCAGAATCGTTAGATAACTCAAGTCTACAGTTCGGTTCAAAATGCAAAACAGCGAGGAAATCCAAGAAGTATTGCAACATTGTCACAAACAGCAGTATATGCAAGTACTCAGGCTGGCTGCCGTGAGAAGGAAACAGTTGAGGACAAAAAGTCGCTCGGAGATGCCCCGGTAATAGATGGTTATTTACATCGATAAAGGTCGCAAAGAGGCGAAATTCAACCGGTTAAATTGTACACCGTGTACCTGGCATTGTCCTTACCTACACAGTGAATGAGTTTATGTTTCCAAGAGTCAAGTTCCTGCCGAAAGCCGCGCCTGTCGATTGTGCATTGCTGCCTTTTACACTGACTCGCCATTTTCTATCGTTCTTGTCTGGCGGGCACGAGCACGGGAAGAGGAAGCACTCTGCTATATGAACGCGCACGCCCCTGTGTTGAAGAGGAAATCACTCCATAGGGAAATGTAGGTTTCAGTCAGTGGTGGATAAGTAGCAAAGTGCATTTACTCAAGTCGTGTACAAGTACCTCATAATTGTACTTAATTACAGTACTTGAGTATTTCCATTTCATGCTACTTTATACTTATACTCCACTACATTTAAAAGGGAAGTAATGTAAGTTTACTCCATAAATGTATTTAACAGCTTTGGCTACTTTTAGCTAAATGCATCTCTAAACAATTAAACTATTGGACTTTTTCAGTAAAAAAATATAAAAAAATATTGGATTTACTTGTTAAGTCACAAAAGAGTCAACTTATTTAAATATTCTACAGAAAGTCTGTCACAACTTTGTTTGTCTACATTGGTAAGATTCTACTTAATGCAAAAATGTTATCAATAAATGTCACATAAATATAATTATATACACACAAAAAGTGATATTAAAGTGAAACTTAGTAAATCAATGATATATTACATTTAGTCAACCAATGTTGGCAACAATAAGAATTCTTAGTTTATTTTAAATACAATTCTAAGGGTTCAAGGGCTTTATTTTTTTCATATGAACTACAGTATAGTGGAGTTTTTGGAAAGATAATCTTGAGTCTTAGGCTCCTCGAGCCATGCAATATGCGATGATGGTTCTTCAGGACTGCTTCTTAAGCTCAAATCACACTCTCGCAGACTTTTCCGGTGTTTCTAAAGTAGATGACAATGTATGTGTGTCGCTTAAGAGGAAAAGATGCCTGTTTTTTGTTGTTGTTATTACTGTCAGGAAATGTACAACCTAACCCTGGTCCGCCCAGTAGTCGTAGTCAGATCGCTACTCCTGCTGATTTTAAAGCTAGGTCTGGGTTGGGTTTCATCCACTTGAATGTGCGCAGACTGTTACTAGATTTAGTCCGCATTTGGGCGATT